GCTCAGGCTGCAGAGCCCAGGCCCAGCTCAGTAAAAAGGAACTGCAGCAGCCATGGGGGCAGAGCAGCCATGGACAGAGACCCAGTCCCCGGGTGGTCCCCACAGATCTGAGGGTTGCAGATCTGACCCCTTTCCCTGATTCTTTCAAAATAGTGAATATGAGTGGCCGTGCTGCCCTGGTAATTTCATTCATACATCTCCGAGCCATTAATGCAGAGCTCTCAGTGTTTCATCCTTCTAGGTTGTGATAACCCTTTAATTTCACCCTCCACTACTGAGACTTTGGGGAAAGAGCTGGATCCCTCTCAACACCACTCTGGCAGCCGACAATCTCTGCAAGCTCCATCACAGGGACAGTCCCAGCTCAGCCACTTCTAACGTCCCATGCAGGTGGGGAAGCCTTGCCCAAGCCCCCCCAAACATCCCTGTGCTCCCACAGGTCCCAACCACAGCTCTGCAGGCAAGGGGCAGGGGCCTGGAGACCACGCGCTGTGTGGAAAGCCCAGCCAACGGAGAGAAAAAAACCCATCGGGTTGTTTCCCTAAGCCGACATATAATAAGCTGAGCTTGATGAAATGTGCTGCATGAATGCATCTTGCGCGTGGCTGTTTCTAGGGGAGCAATTTTTTTTTTTTCTTTTTCCTTTTAATTAGCCAGGCTTAAATTAGCAGCAACTACTGTTGATATTCCTCCGTGAGCAGCTAGAACACTTTCAATCAGGAGCCTAATTAATATGCAAAAATGTGATTTGTTTTGATTTCAGTCTGGAAGGGCTTCTTTCCCCCCAAGTTTCCATTTCAGAGTCTTCTGCTCTAAATGAAGGTGAAATTACTATGTAGTGGCCATGTAATAGAGCTTATATCGTCAGGGGAAACACATTATAGGGAGTTTCGGGAACTCTTACCTGGGTTTGTAGTTGTTTTGCTTCATTTTTCTCTGCTAAATAATAGCCTGCCATGGGGCAAAAGGGGGACTCACCCAGCTTGCTCCGCTCCCTCACAGGGTAACTAAAACGAAAACAAAAGTTTATTTCCCAAAGGCATTGGGACTCTTCTCATGGACCTCTTCCTCACCCAATCCATGGTTTTGAACAAGAGTAAGGTACCAGTTTTTTTTATTAATTCCCAAATTGCTTCACCAGTGTATTTGCATCCGTGTATTCATGGTGCAAAGGACCAATGCTGGCCTGTCCATGGTAACACAGCCCCGAGCCTCGTGCATGGTGGAGGACCTCACTCTGCAAATCAGTCCTGCTAATAACACCAGGTACCAGGTCTGGTGGCTTGTTGGGAGGTTTGAGGGCTGATGTTGCAGCCAGTTTCATTTGTTTCCTCTCTCAAGAAAACCTTTCCAACATGGAGACCTGGGAGGCAGAGACAGTTTTGGGCTGCAGTGTGGTGAGGTCTCCTCCCTGGTGGGATTTTGTTGGCCTCTTTGTAGCCGGTGTCCCTGTCCGTGGCACACAATCGGCTAGGAGGTCTTTAAATCTGTTTCTGTGCAACCCTCAGTTGGGATGGTCGGGGCTCTGTCATTGTTCCTCGTAAGCGTGCTTAGAAACCCTGCTGTGTGTCATAACCCCTCTGTGGTATGTGCTGGGCATAGACAGAGAAAGCTGGGGAAATGCTGAAAGAAAATGTGAAAAGGTCCGAATTTCTTGGCCCTTTGAGCCCCCTTGACATGGCAGGAAAAGCAGGAGGAGAGCACCGTGCCTGGCCTAAAGCTCCTTCCCCTGCTGCTGCACCTCATGTACATAAATGCCTTTAGCAGCTGCAAGTACCACTAGCCGTGGGTTTTTCCTTACATTCAACAAAAGTAAACTTTAATTTCAGCGCACCAGAATTTTTGCTCACTCCCATTTAGTGCTATTTTTATAGGATTTTTTTTTTTTTTTTAAGTGGTTTGGGTATTTTTTTCCCTCTGAGAAAATCCCAGCATTTCTCACTGCTGATCTCAGTTATATTCAGAAACACTCTGATTTTTTTCAATTAAGCTGTTTCCAAACTTGGACTTTTCCTTCCATGAATGTATGGGGAAAAGTGTATTTTTTCTTTCCCTGACCAGCTTTAAGAGGCCCAGTAGACTCCAGTCATGTGCTTAAATTAGAAGAAGAGACCTGATTCTTCAGATGTAGGTTAAACTGATTCACGTCAGCTTTGAGCCACGGGGATTGTGCACAAGAGTGATTTACACTGTGTAAATCATCCGGTATGGCACCATTTGCCTTAGGCCGCTTATGTGGTTAGAAATGAGCTGTGATTCCTCCTCTGGATGGGCGGTTCAAAAGCAGAGGATGTGTTTGAGCTCCAGAATGGGGTGTGCAGGATCAGGACACACTGCTTCGAAGGGGCTCGGTCCCCTCTTCCACCCCACAGTGGGGTTGTGAGGAACCTGGAGAGAGGAGTGATGGGACAGACTGATGGACTGAAGACAGACAGACTGGAGGCTGTGGGGCCGGCACGCAGGGAGCATGCTGTCGTACGCCGGCACGCAGGGAGCATGCCCTTGGAAATGATCACAAAGCCAGTGAAGATTCACCAGATATAGCCCTCAAAAGGAATAGTCTTGTGATTATGGGGGGAAAAGTCATGCCTCTGAAAGACGTTTGCTTCTGTGGGTTAGGACAGACTTTTGATGTGTGTTTCCAACATGCCTTTCTTCTGCTGTGGTTCCTCATATCTCCAGGGTTTTATGGTGAAGGAATTAGAGCCCTGCATGTCCCCGGAAATTAAAACAAAAACTGGCTTCAGTGGTATTTCCCCAAATGCGTTTTCATCTCATTGAATCTGTCCTACCAGCAGCCCTGAAGCATCAAAGATTTCATTTTCATCTAGTAGCGATCAAAAGCAACATCAGCAAGGAATAAATACACAAAGCCATGCTGCAGGGATACGAGCTCCCATGACAAGGCGGTGCTGTTCAGTTTATTAAAATAGAAAGCTCATGTGAGGCTGCTCTTGGTCACCGAATGTTTCAGTCATTTTGAACATCTGTGTTTTGCAATCTGGGATTTTTCTGGATCTTACCTTTGAGGGAGTCAGTCTTTGGGCAGGGTGAGTGAAGATGTGGCCCCGGTGAAGGCGTCTGAGTGTGTGAAGCACCCAGGACATGGGCAGCCCTGGCAGGGGAGCTGAGGCTGGAGGCATTGGTGTTAAAGGGTTACTTTCCCCTGAAAACCCACACTTTTCCCCCATGACAGGATAATGCTGTTCCTTTGGCAGGGCCAGTGGCGGGGAGCATCAGCTCTGCTTCCCTGACCTGCGATCAGGCCGCCAGGATGCTGCCATTTTGATTTCCAGGCTTGAGGAAAACATGGTTTTAATTCACAGAATAAAACTAGAAGGGCTTTTTCAGCAACACGGCTGTCAGAATGCAATGAAACACTTCTGGATTTAGACTAGCAGAAAGTGGGAAGGGACCAAAACCCATTCCCGGAGGAAAACGGCTGTTTCTTGTCACTGGAGAGCTATCACGGGAGATGCCGCCGTCGTACCACAGCTCAGGCTGGCGGTCCCCGAGGTAGGACAAAACAAACCACAAGTTTAGATGGAACAACCAAATAATGAATTAGATAAATTAGACTCTGACGAAGGGCAAGGCTGTGCAGAGTGGGAGTGCTGCCCTGGAAACCAGCAGCTGCAGTGCCGAGGTTCCTGGGGCGCACGGGGATTTGTATCCTCAGAGAGTTTTCCGTAACGTGTCTCCGGAGTTGGGGTAAGTGCCGGGCCACGTGGCTGTCACTATGGAAACTAGTATTTTTACATCCTAAGGAACAGGCATGGAAAAAACCCTCACAAAAGCCCTCTGCCTTTTGCCGCTCCCCGAGGAAGAGGTGCAGGCCCGGCCTTGCGTGCTGCCTGTCACAAGCCCTGGCGCCTCACCTTCTATTTATTTCTCCTCCAGTATTCATTTCTCCTCCTGCTCAAACCTCTGCTGGACTTTTCAGCTCTAAGACCATGAAACTCAGCCACAGCTTTTGGTATAAGATGTAATTTGCAGCGTTAGCAGCTGCTTCAGGTGGCAGGAGCTCTGTGCACTGAGCTTGCGGATGCAAGCTAGGCTGGGTACTTCTTTCTTGTTAGCGAATGCTAGGAGGACTAGGTCTAATCAAATACAACATAAAAACTCATTTATTGAGGCACACGTAGCTAGCCTTGTTAAAGAATAGCAGCAACTGTCTGCCAAAGAAATGTAATTTGGGGAATTTCCCTTGAAAATAAGGACAAGGAGTATGACACAGCAAAACCTCTTCTGCTTTGGCTTTTAGGCAGGGAGTATCTCCCTGAAGGATAGGTTATAAAACTTCTTTTAGTCCATATGATCTGCAGAGACTGCTTATTCTCATCTCTCACTTATATCAACCTTGGAGTGAAATGGACTTTTAGCTTTACTTTGTGACTTCTACACTATTTGTGGTACAACTTTATTGCACAGTGGGGGTGTTTCAGCCCCATTTATTTGTATCTTTGAGGCCTGACGATACACTGAAAGGACTCTGATTTCACTGCCGTGTATATATAATACAAATACTTGTATTTGTGAACTGTAACCATTGCTGTCAGTCATTTACCACAGGGAGACCTGGGCAAGGCAGACTGACTTCACATCCTCAGCTTCCGCTGCAGGGATGCCATCCCCATCCCTCTCGGCTTCTTTTTGTTTGCTCATTTTGCCTTTTTTCCATTCTTGTGCTCTCTTTGCCGCTAGCCATTGTCTTGCCACGTGCTGAAGAAAGTCCAAGTTGTACAGAAGTGATTTTGAAGCACAAAGCCCAGGCGAGGTGTCAGAATAAATCAAGGAGGGTTTCTTAGGTTATTTAATCTGATCAGCCTTTCTATCAAAGACCTGCTTTGGCTTTTAAAATGGTAGCTGTGAAGAAGTCCCTTTCCTTCCTACCCAGTGTCACCTCTTGCTCACTGAGTTAAGATGCCTGAAGACACTTTCCGTATTTTCTCCCTCCTATTGAGCTGCTTTTATAGCACTGAAATAAAACTTGACTCAGGTTTGTGGATACAACAGTTCAGTCCCACCTCCTTTTTGTTTTTTAATGTTGGTATTTCAATGGTCTGAAATATCATTTTAATTTCATATTAGTTGTTTGCAAAAGAGGAAGCCCTATTAAAGAGTTGAAAAAGAAACCCATTAATGCCACATTTCATGAGGAACTCCACAATAACAAAGCAGCATGCATGTGAAAACACAACATGAGAGCTGCTTAGCCCTCCTGTGCCTGTCATCATGGCTTCTGCATGTGGGAGAGAGTGCAAAATTCACAAGGATGCTACTCTCTGAAGTGCTGCATGCACTGCTGGCAAGTGGAAGAAAGAAACAAGAGTCAGTCATTCAAAATAATAGAAAAACAGCTATAGTACAACACAGATGCACTGAATAAATAAATCCATCAGATTCAGATTTTAAAGGGTTCAAGGGTGAAATTAAGTATTGTTTGCTTAAATATAAAAAGCACTTTCAGAGTAACAACCCTTTAGAAATAATAATAATAATCTCACGAGATTACAGCCCCACGTTTCAGTTTTGATAGGCTTTGCTCTAACCCCATCACCAAACTAAGACTACAAAAGTAGGTCTTTCAACAATTCTGATGTGGTATTTTGGGAAGAAACAGACCACAAGTACCAAAAAGGATCCATAAAGCACCAGGAAGCTTTCCATGGGTATCCACAAACTGCAAGGGCTTCCAGTCTGGGGGGCTACCAGAAACCCAGCACACGTGAGGGTTTTCCATCCCAGCAGCCAGAACTCCTGTTAAAATGAACGGGAACCACAGGGGCTTACTTAAGAATAACACTCACACACATTTAAAACCCATGTTGAGCTATTTATTCTGTGCATTCACCTTTCATTTGTAGTACATGCTAAAATTAAGTACTTCTAACTGCTGAATGGAGCAAACAGAAATTGCTTCCATCATCTAAAGTTGACAGCCGGCTATTCAGCCCACGATCCTCCCTACTGGATGGCACGCTCAGGCTCCTTAATGATGAGCAGGAGCGTTTGATTTTCAGCAGCAGTGCTACATTATGGCACGCATTAATTTGCTAGGAAATCACTTCAGAAGAGCATAAAGTGTGATGGATTCCAGTTAGAAACACAGAGTACAATAAAGGCCCCAAAGGTACCTCTGAAGTGTGACTTCCCAAGAAATTCTTTAACAAAGGGAACCGAAAATGAGCCGTCTTACCCATACTGTGCCTTCACACAGCACACTTAGCGAAGTACGGAGACAGTCTGCCAGGTCACCCGGCAGTGGATATTAAGCACTAGCCTATTTCAAATGTTATGTGTATTTACAGACCAGCTGAATAGGTCGAACAGTTTTCTAGTTCACAGTGTAAGATGAAATGATATTTAATTCCATATTTGAATAGCTGCCGATGTAAATAGAGTGTATGAGCAGGGGTTATTGAGGTTATTTCACTGTCACCTCCTGTTTCTAAAGGCTTGTGTATTTTACCCCACGAAACAAACCTTACAGTGAAAGGTATCAGGCTTTAAAGCAAGGTTATAATAAACAATGAGACTACTACACAGAGGACACATTTTGCATTAGCAGAGGACAAGTTTAATAAAACATACTTCTTGCACATCAGATTGACAAATTCATGCTCATTCTTGCCATAGTGCCTGAAATAGAAACGGGGTCTTAATTTCCCTCTCGTCAATGTAAAAACACCAGTGCTAAGCTGCATCACCAGACTGCCCTCTCCTAATGAATGACAGTGCCTCCCATACATCTCCTGTGTGGCTTTTTGCTATGAAGGGAACGCAAGGTTGCTTCTGTAGAAAGCCCACCTGAAGAGGAAAATTAGGATGTGTCTAACACAACCACCTTTGCCACTTCACGCTTGCATTTCCAGGCTGTCCTGTACTATCGCTCATCTTGTGTGTGTCCTGACACCCCAACAGTAAAAGGCACATCTTGAGCCCAAGAGAACGTGGCTGCTTTCAGAGAGAAAACTTGAGCAGAGTTTCTGTTTCACTTACTGGGTGCACACAGCCATCAGCTTTTGTGGACCTCCACGAACACGACGTGGCTCCAGGTGGGAAGTGCTGCCCTGCAGCCCTTAAAGCTAAGAGCACGTGGGCCTTATGGTATGAGGGAGGAGGTAGGAGAGCCTGAAATTCAGACCTGAAACACAGGGCAAGTGTTATAGGGCCCCTCTGGACAGTGTGGGTCTAATAGCCATTTTTTGGGGGGTTGTCAAGCAATGCAAACTCAAACATTTCCTCTGTTTTAACAACAGCAGACGATGGCACCACTTCTGGCCAACCCCACTCTTTATTTTCGGTACTTTGTCGTTCATTACAATGCACCTGGGGCTGCTGCAGTGTCATTTCCAAGGAGCCTGGCTTCTTCCCCGCTGCCTACAGCACCTTTTACAGGACAACACGCCACGAGGTGTCCGCTGGGCTACACGTGGAGCACGCAGGGGCTGTGCTCACCCCGCAGCTTCCCACCACCCACTGCCAGAAGCTGCGAAAGGACTGCCCCGCGCCACGCAGCGAGGCCGGGCGCCTCGGGGCCAGACCCGCAGAGATATTTAGGGGCCTAACTTCTATTTCAGACTGCCGTGGGAGGCTGGTGCCTAAATAGGAGTTGAGCACCTGATTACCTTTGCAGGTCTGGGCTGGGGGCAGAGGCAGCGAGGCCGTGCTCCCCCTTGCCGTGTGCCCGTCCGTCCTGGGGAACCTCCGCTCCTCCCCGGCCGGCGGTCGAAGCGTGGTGCGGTGCCACCCTGGTGTTGTGAAGTAGCCGTTCTCCGACTGGCGACGGCCTGATTCACAACACCAGCTGCTGCACGGCACCCGACGGGGCCCCGGGTCCTCCGCGCTCCATCCATCACGTGCTGGAAAGAAAAGGGACAGAGTTAAGTCCGTCGACCCCACAGGTTACGTGCCCCGACCTGATTACAGTGGTATGAAAGTGTGAAGCATGCTTCTCCCCCAGCAAGTGCCACTCTTGAGATCTACAGCTCTGTAGAGGTGGTTGCTGCAGTGTGATACGGGTACGGCTGCATCCTTGCTATTCACGTCCTGCCTCCACCTCAGGAGGATGGAGGCTTGCAGGCAGGGGAAGTAACCTAGAAACTCAGCCAAGCCCCAAGAGACACGGAAGAAACAGGCTGCTGCTTCTTCACCGGTGCCAGGGCATTGTCAGAAGGAGAACGGTGCCCCAGGGACTGTGTGGCTTCCTCGGCACCGCTCTGCCACTCAGCCTCACACCCCTCAGCACGCACCTTACCCGAGGCAGGTGAGACGCCTGCACGTGCCTGGTCTAATGCCAGGAGCTGCACGGTGTGCTGGCATTTGGGATGGTGCCCCCTGCCCCCAAAAGTCCTGCTGGGACCCATGAATACCCAGTCTGCAGGCCCTTTGTTCCTCTCCATGGCCCCATCCCTCTGGGGCTGAGAACTAAACGCAGGAGTCCTTCAGCAAACCGGAGAGAAAGCAAGTGATGTGAGGCCTGGCAGTCCTCCAGCTGCTCATTTCCAGTAGTTCTCCTGAAATGTGTTTGATGTGGAGGCAATACTTCTGCCTTTGCTGACAAGGAGAGTGCACCCCAAGCCTCCCCACCTCGCCATTTAATGCAAAGGAAACCCCATACGTTGTCTTTCCATTGCAGAGATGGGAGCTGTGGTCACAGTAGGCAGAAAAGCTATGAACGTACGCGCTAACAGGAGACATCCTGGAGAAACAAGCTCTACAATGGAGCTGCTGGAGGAAATGGAGATGATTCCCCTGAGCAGATCCTTCCCTGCGCGCTGTGGCAGGGAGCACACCGGGCGAAGCACGCCGTGTCACACCCAGGGTAAGGCCAAATGCTTTCTGTGCATCCCTTCTTCCATGGGAACACCAGAGTCTGCCACTAGGACTGTGGGTGGGAACAGAAAAACAAACGATAGGAGCCTTTTCCAGGGTTGTTTAAAACCTTATGAAAGCTTTCAGGCAACCTGTGCAGAAGTACAGCAGATGAGTGAGAAATGAACGCTTAATCAAAGACTTTCTCTGCCCTTACTGTACCGCAGATGGAGGCGGGTTTTCTGCCTCTTCACCTCCTCGAATAGTCCAACGTGGTTTTAGAGCACAACCTGAAATATCCATATTCTTCCATTTTTATGTAGCATGGCTTTATTCATTCATCTGTGGGGTACAGTTCCCACGTTCTCTAACACGCCATGGTTGGAAAGCTTTCCTACAATTTCCACTAGGTTACACGTATTTAAGCGTACAATTTCCTCAACAGCTGAGTAACCAACACCTACAGCACTGCATTCTCCCATGCTGGCTGGCTGGCCCTACAAGCCCTGAGGAAAAACACCCAAACCAAATATTTATTTTAGGATGACACTAGTACGTTAGGAGAAGAACCTCATCTCCTAGAAACAGGAAAACTAACTTCTCTGTCTGGGGGGAGACAACCCAATCACCCAGATCACTCTCCCCATGAATTAGCATTTTTCATTTAGAAACAGGAAAGGGTAAGGAGAAACCCTGCCAACGAGATGCTTTTTCTAACCCAAATTTTTGCCTGGTGAGCCTGGGTATCTGGGTCTGTGCAGCAAGTGCAGCTCCACCGCCAGGGCTCTGCTATCGCTGTTAATATTCCATGCAAATAGATTTCCTTGCTTTGGTCACAGCAGTCTATTAATTCAGCCCGCTTGTCTGGTACATCTTTATCCTCTGCAGGTTAATCCTGCCAAATTCCTTTGCTGTAGTACATGTCACACAGCATATAATATCCAACAATGCAATTTTGCTAATCCTGTTTTATCAGCTTTGTTGCCCTGTCTGGTCAATCCAATAGCGAAAAAAAACGCACAGAAGGTTTTTGCCAAGATCTCCCTTCTCTTTTTGCCCTCCCCCCCCCAACTTTGTATGGTTTCAATTAAATGGTTTGAGAGCAGAACACAGTGTTTGGATATCTGCCAATGTCCTTCAGATGCAGAATGTCAAGGCACTTAATTATATAGGTCTCCAAACTCTTTCAGATGCCCCACCTACCCAGTCAGCTGAATTTACTGAAGGCAAGTGTAAAAAATCAGCTCAAATCTCTTTTTAAAACACTCTCCACGCATTAAGGACTTGAAGATGGCTGAATAGCGATATATTTATCGCCCATTATCTTACTAAAAGATTAAACAAATGAGTAAAGACTGTCTCATTAACAGTTCTTTGTTGTCTTGTTTACTGTTTAGTGGACTCATTAACATTAATTATTAGAAGAGGAACATCAATTATTGCAATAACCTTTGTCAAGCCTAGTAAACCGGCTGCTGAACAGCCAGCGGATCCCCGTTCATCCGGCAGGATTGGCACGCACAAAGAGAGGGATGTGAGGAAGGACGGCGGCCACGCCGGCTGCAGCTCGGAGGCAGCTCGGGCACCAGCAGGACCCGCTGCCCTGGACCTCGAGAAAGGAAATAAAAGGCCAAGTCAATCCGAAGCTGAACTCCACCAGACCCAGCGACAGGGGGGGAGATGGGAACAAAGGCAGCCCGCTTCCCCTTGCGCTCACCGTGCTGTATGTGTTACACCCCTTGTTTTAAAGCCCTTTCCCTATACGTGTGTACAAACGCAACACAGGCTGCAGCATCGATTTCGGGATTCTCCACAAACCTCCAGGGAGGGGTTTTCAGGCCCTTACCAGGTATTAAAGCTGGGGTCCCCCTCGCTGGTTTCTTTTTCCTTCCGAGAAAACCAGCCCCAGGTGGGGATCTCCTCCGCCTGAGCAGAGATTCAGCGTTTTATCAATATTTCAAATACTCCGTATACTTCAGCAGCTCTGGCAGGAGTTAAGTATCAGCAGTAGCGCATCTATTATTTAAAATGCTGCCAGGAAGAGGGCTGAGTCACTAAGCTGGATCCCTCACCTTTAACTCTGTTTCTCATCCTAAATGCAAGCACCAGCCCGTGCCCAGGAATGAAAGGAGCCTTTTAGGAAGGACCCCGAGCCAAATCCACGGCTTGTAAGGCTGTATTTATGCACAAACAGAGACGAGGGCAGCTAAGCACTGCACCTCTTGCAGATGCTTCCACAACTACACACTGTGAGCCACTGAAAGAATACGCAGAGTGCTCCTTACATCAGCCAGGTTTTAAAGGAATAAAAAAAACCAGCACGGTCCCACCAACCTCGGTGACCCACTCGCCGCCCCTCCCAGTGCCTCGCCTCGGCGTGGATCTCCACGCTAATAAAAATAATAAAAACGTGCAACAATTAAGCTGTTTGCTAAATTAGTGATTCTGGCCCTACAGCCTCCTGGCCGGAGAGAGGTCCACAGAGATGGCGTAGCCTGTTACCTTGGCAGGAATTGTGCTGACAGGACAGTCCATCCGTCTTGGCGTCTTTAGACAGCTGTGCTTACCTAGCAGAATGTAAACATCTTTGAACTTTGCTTACTGGCTAAAAGGAAGCGTTAGTTTCCTATTGCATTTCCTCCTGCAAGATCAATCATACACGCAGGCTAGACACAGCATCCCTATGTTTGTAATTAATCTCGTAAAGGAAGAATATCTCCCCTCCATCGATTGCTGTATTTGTATGCAGTCTTCCTGCGAGTCAGAGGAAGAAGAAAATAAAGGCTGGTAGCGGAATAATAATCAGCTGATCCCCTAATAAAGGCTGGTATGTGCTATACAGACAGAGCGAGATGCTTTTGTAGTGAGCTGGTTCTTTGTTGGAAAAAACACCTTGTACTGGATGCTGATCATTAACACTGAGGACTTCAGGGCAGTTTTTAGATGTCCCAATAATACAGATGTTTTACTGCTTCTTACTAAGCACCAGTTCTTACATTTCACGTTTCCTGGAGTAGATATGGAAGCGTTTAAAATCCAGCCTAAGAAAACATTCGTTAAAAAAGCAAAACCAAACAACAAAAAAACACACCCCGACATGCTAGATGAAGACTTCATGAAGAATAATTTCTCCCCCCGAGGTCCTGCAGGTGTGTGTACAGTCACTGCACTTCTGAGGACGATGGGCTCAAACCAGCAGGCAGGGGGACTCGATGCACTCAAAGAAATGAGGAAGCAAGTGCTCTTCAGCAGCTCTTAGGCTCCAGCTCTGACCTGCTGCTGTTTCAGATCTACCCATTTCATTGCACTAAATGCGCCGAGTTCACTGACATTTACATTGGGCCAGCATACTCTCCGTAATGAGAAAATAAATAGTCTCTGGGATACATTTAGAGCGAATGTACCATTCTGGTAGGCGCTACATTAGTTTAGGGTGTCACTGCCTGTTTTGATTTGAAGGAATAATACGCAGATTTGCTTGCTGAACGCAGTCCTGGGACAAGTCAGAGCCGTTCCCCTATCATCCTAACAGCAGCAGGACAGGGCTGTTACAATTCATCGCAGAGCTCACCCCGTGGTACCTCACACATCCTGGCTTAAGAGGCTGGGAGACTGGGGTCTAGTGCCTCAAAAAACAACTATTGAGGAGTATTGAACTGCATTTGTCTGAGAAAACAACCACCAACACCACTATGTTTTAGGAAACCGATTTACACAACAGGGAACAGCACTTCAAAACAGAAGGTGGGGCTGGTATTATTTGCCCCCAGCACCGACACGACGTCCACACCAGCATCACGCTGTCGGAGCAGGCAGCAGCGCGGTCCTTGCTAAATGCTCTGCCGTGGTCTGGCCCCGTGGGGGACACAGGCTGAGAGCTTTTGTTTTGCACTGTTCCTTTTTAATTTGGACAGCTTTTAGCTCCAGAAAAATTAGGTTTGCCTCAAAGGAAACAGATCTCGGATATGCACAAAATGCTTAAGTGCACCCTTTTCTTTCGGAGTACTTAAATAATGCAGCCTCCACTTAGATATAGGCACAA